ATCTCCTATGACCGATAAAAAAAAAGCACGCATCATATAGAAACAGCAGGGCTTCCTTATTGCAGCAATCGTATTGAAAAACCTTAACAGCAAGAAAGCATCTGGCCTCCACGGGGAACTTCACTGCGGCAATTCCTCCACTCCCCGCGCCCGGCCAGCGGCCGGTGTATACCACGGCGCCCTGCCTGGGGTTTAGCATTCATACAGTTATGGACTTATGGGCTTACAGGGTCTAGAGAAGGAGAGAGAGAGCGAGAGAGAAAGAGAGAGAAAGAGAGAGAGAGGGAGAAGGAGAGGGAGGGAGGGAGGGAGGCTTTGAATGGAGAATCAAAATGGAAATCACATGGAAATGACATGGACCCTGGGGTTTATAGGGATTTTGCGCAAAGTCAGTACCCATGTTGATTATCACCGTAAAATCCTGCATGACCTTAATCTACCAGAGTACCATAGCTACCCAACTTGTAAGATACTTGGGGGCATACAGCAGTTCTAGCATCAACGAGTATCGAGTGTCCCCGAACCTACAAGCACTCTACAACTTTTGCTTTCGTAGATGCTAGCGCCAAAACTGCAGCAGTAGACTGCTGCCGGTGCGGCTAGGATGTTTTTCTACACATCGACAGCTTCACAAAGGTATGGGCCCTCAGACTCAGATGCAAGTCATAGAAGAAAGTCAGTGAAGTCCTGGATGTAATTCTCCTCTCAACAAGGCAGCTGCAAAAGTCATGTTGCTCAACATCTGGAAGTCATCAGGTGGGAATCCTTCATCCTACAGTTGTTGGACGGAATCCTGCACCAACTCAATGAATTTACGGCACCTTACCCCTTAAACCCCATAGAGGTGATGCAAGATTCCCTCCAAGGAAGCTCTTCGCAAAAGCCGCGAGCTTTTGAACACTCTGCTGCCTGCTGGCTGGCAGCTTCATGTCGGAGTTGCTAGCTAAGAGTCAGTAGTCGCAGAAGGAAGAGTCACTATGATTATCATGGCGCTATGCTGAATATGTTGCACGACACACTTCTGCTGTGCCATGCCTGGCACTACGGGAACTATGACGAAGAGTCACTAAAAGCTACTGTGAGACCGACGCGGCTCAGCCTCACATGTCAAATTTCTTCCTGGCGCAAAGGCCACCACCCTCCATAGACATCATTCCTGAGTCCGAGTGATCGCATGAAACGTTTAGCAGCAATGCTTAAGACGTCCGTGCATATGGAATAACAAAAACTTGGTTTTCGCACTATTCGGAAAAAAACAGGTAGAATAGTAAGATATGGAAGAGAAAAAGAGGGAGAACATAGCAAATACATAGGACGAACAATAGGGAAAACATAGCCCGCCAAAAGGACTCCAGAACAACATAGAAGACATAGAAAAGCATGACGAAAAATAGGGACATTAGAAACTTTGGAAAATTTGGAAAAACTGAAATAGAAAACATAATAAAACAGGAGGAAAATAGGACATTTGCCAAAATGAGGAAAATCAACGGTTTTCCTCATGTTCGCTGTCCTATATCTAATTCCTCTGTTTCCTAATTGTTTCCTACGTTTTTCCTAACTCTTTCCGAAGCTTGCCTATTTTTCTTATTTTCTATGGAAAAAAAGGAAAACATAGCAAAAACCTACAGAAGCGAAGATAAGAAAAAACAGGAGAACATCTGGAAGCCTAGGAACATTAGGAAATTAATAGGAAATCAGCGAAAATGAGTAATCGCTGATGTTCCTCAATTTCGCTAATCTCCTACGTTTTCCTATTTTCGCTATTTTGTGTTGAAATCTTTTTGGCCGGCTATGTTTTCCCGATTTTTTGTCCTATGTTTGTGGCTATTTTCCGGTATTTTTCCTAGTTGTTCTCCTCCGTTTCCTGTTTTCTGCTATGGCCATTTGCCTGTCTCCTGTTTGGGGAATTTGGGCTCTCCTACGTTTCCTATGTTTGGTTTTTTTTCTGAGTCTTGTCATTGCACGGACCTCTTAAAGCTACGTTTCCCAAGAATAAGACATGTTTTTTTACTTCAATGTGGACCCAGATTCGGCCGAGGAAGACTGCTGGTCCGGAGTATCGTCGGATGGATCCTCCCCACTTGCCCCGGAAGCTCCTGCCGGTCGCCTGCTTGAAGACGGACTTCACGTACTGCTTCCGGAAGGACAGACTTGCCTGGGTTGCTCCTAGGAACTTAGATTTACTGCATTGGGGAAAGCATATTCATTACTAATTCCATATTCCCATTATGGTACATATTCCCATTATGGTAAATATTCCCATTATGGTAAGTTAATTTACATTCCTTAACAGCCACCCAGTTGCACCACTCGGCTCACTGCGGCTCATGTTTCCCTGGAGAGTCTTCAAGGAGCGGATGGTGGTCTGCTCGAGGCAGTCGGCGGTGAAAAGGAGCTTCGCCAAGGAGTTACCTGGGTTGCTGTTGAGGAACGTAAAATAGGTTACCATAATGGGTTTATATATAGGGTACATAGGGCTTAGGGCCTAGGGTTATCACAATGGCTAGACATGGTAATTGACATGGTTCTCCCAATATAGTACCTTGACTCGAGTTCCTTGATAGCAACCGAGTCACGGTCCTCAAGGTTGGCAGGGTTCACAACCCAAGTAGTGATCCCCGTTGCTAGCTTCTCAGTCACGATCAGATTCTGGTTGGGCGTCTGGAGGACAACGTAGAAGTGGTGTGCCTGCTTGTTGCTGTGGGTCTCGCCCTCAGCAGCCTCCAAGTAGACCTTGCAATTATGGATCTTCTCGCTGTCAGAGATCAACTGCTTGCTCGTTTTGGAGGCCAGCTCCCAGGTGGGAGCAGACTTTGAGAAGAGAACACCCACCTTCTCCTGTGCGAACTTCTCTTCCGTGGTACGAACTTCGAGGCTACCGATCTGGTAGATGCGGAAGATGGTGCCGTCCTCCGTGGTCTGCTTGAACTCAGGCGCGGCGGTGGGCAAAACGTCGGAGACCAGGACTTTGCAGAAGGCGTCGTCGAACTCAACCTTGGTGAAGGCCGACTTGTTGGAGACCTCAAACTTGGGAGCTACGCCGTCCTTCTCAATCTGGAAACGGGGCGTCCAGGAGCAGGGGAAGTCGGTGCCAGGGTTGTCAACCTTGAAGCTACGATCAAAGAAGCGCAGCTTGCGGCGCTCGAGCAGCGACTTCTCCTCGTGGATGAGGCTGCGGAGCTTAGCAGCATACTCCAGGTTGGGATCCGGCGGGGTGAATGCATCACCCTCCTCGGTGCGGTCGCACTGGGGTGAGCTGAAGACCCTCACCAACAGCTCCTTGTACTCTGTCTTAAGATCCTCAAAGTCCTGGTCCCGGAGGCTCTGCAGGAAAGCACGTCCCAGCGTGACCTTGGCTTCCAGGGAGTCTGGGCCACCACTGCAGGCCGGCAGGCTGCCACCGAAGCGCTCCGGCTTGGTGAGGTCAAACTTGTCCAAGTTGAGGTCCACACCCTGAGGCATCTCTGCCCGCTGTCCCAGCTGGAAGCGCTGAGGCATGAACATGGGTCGGCCCGATTGCCCCAACTGCATACCAGTTTGGCCTTGCAATGCATGACGCTGCGCCAGCTCGAAGCGGTCCAGCCCAAACTCCACACCACCATAGATGGCCTGCAGATTCTTCTGGCCACCCGTGAACATGTCAATGAGGCGGCCATTCTTCAGCTGGATGCGGGAGTTGCCACGCATGTTCCAGAGCTGTGGGATCTGCGGGTATGCTTCCTTGGGAGTAGACTTCACGATCTCATCAGCAAGCTTGTACCAAGAAGGATCCAGGCGAGTGTGGGAGTCCACCAAGTACTTTGCAAGCACGGAGGCCTTTGCCAGCTCACGCACATGGTAGACCACGCTCTTGCGCTCCGCGATCAAGTCGAAGTTGCGGGTGAAGGCGTCGGCGAACTTCTTCAGGGGATGCCTGGATTGCTCCGACATTATGGGTATATAGAAAACAAGAAGGCTTCCGCATTCTAGTAGCTCAAAACAAGTTCCTTAACTGCAACCCAGATGCGTGGAAGCCGTGACCGGTGCATCCTCCAAGCCCTTCTTTGTCACAACCTGCTCGCGAGCTTCAACGCCCATCTTCACGAACGGGACCAAGGTCTTGTCCTGTTTGATAACTGTAAGGGCCAAATCAACCGCTTATGGCTTTATGGGATAAATAATATATATATATGTGTAAGGACTATGGTCCATGAATAGAAGCTCTGCCCAAGAAGATATCTGCAGTCGGCCCTATTTTCCAGTTCTTTTCCATTTGATCCTCCACTAAAATTATGTCAATGCTCTTTTCCATGTCCTAAAGCCGAAAGCCTCTCTCTCTTGAAGCCGAAAGCCTAAATCATGAAACCTAATCTAAAACCCTGAAACCGAAACCCTGAACCCTGCACACCCAAACACTTCGACCGTAAAACCTAGACCCTTACCTTGCATGCCCCAGGAATGTCCCGGTCCTGGGCAAGTCTTACCTCAGCTTTCTTCACCACGTACCACTCGCGCCCTGCCCAAGACTTGTCCTGCGAAGTCTCGATGCAAAGAACAACCCGTGATAAAATTGGAAACCCTAAGCCTTTGGTAGGGCAACTACTTCTTGAGAACGCCGCATGAAGAGTTTCCATAAATCTGGGGCCCTCAATGTAGACCCGGGCCCCAAAATGCTACTATCCTCATTATAGGGACACCCAAAAATGTGGTCACAGTTTTGGGAAACCCCCACCCCCACCCGCAGGTTATGCTACTTGGATTTCCACAGCTCTGAAAGCATGGCCAAAGGCCAATTTCAAGTACAAGAAGCAAACATTTACATGAGAGGTGTTGGGCGCTTGCACTGTGATGGAGTGGGCTCCTATCTACAGGACGCACATCATGCAGTCCTTGTCTGAGAGCTCCGACCAGTCGAAGACGCTCAGCATGCCGGCCACGGGCATCTCGTACTCACCCAAGGCAAGCTCCTTGAGGAAGTAATCCGCCTGGAACATGACATCGCCCACACTGGTGCCGGCCAGCCAGCTTGGTTCATAAACCTTCTTTTGTGGGGTCTTCTCCAGGTTCTGGGGGTCCACCGGGTCGAGGGAGAAAAGCGGCTCACGGCTGGCGGTCTTGCGCACCTTCAGTGCCAGGAGGAGGTACTCCAAGTTGACAGCGGCGGCTGGCTCCAGAGTCGGTGCAACCTTCACCGTGCGAGTGACCTCATCGAACACAAGGCAGCAAAGTCCTTGAGGAAAGCCGTTGCAGCCCATGCGCTCGGCCCACTTGGTGTTCTTGGGGACGCTGTCCATGACCCAGCCAATGTCATACTGCCTGCGGCTCTTCAACTTCTTCTCAGCTTCCCAACCAATGCGGCGGTCCTCCTGCCTCTGGGCATCCTCCACAAGGACTTGTGCCATGCACTCCGCGTGCACACAGCTGCCACGTCCTTCGCGGCCCTCATACGCGAACTCCCCCACAGGCATGAGGCATCTGCAGCACAAGGGCACCTGGGATTGTCTCAAAAACTAGCTGCTACATGCACTACAGAGAAGATTTATAGCTTAAATCCTGTAAGAGACCCCATGATGATTCAGAAAACCTCACCTCTTCGCCCTCAGAGTCAACATCCACCGGTGCCGACCTGCGCTCCTTCTTCGGCTTTGGCTTCGACATCGCTGCCTCGATTGCCTCCTTTGGAGCGGTGCGCGGCTTAACCTGGGATACTGGACAAGAAAATGGGAACTACTATAATGGGTTATACAGGGGTTATAGGGCTATATAGGGGTTATACAGGGGTATATAGAGTAAATAATATAGGGTTTTCCCAAATTTAGTAGCTTAAATTAAGTTCCTTAACAGCAACCCAGTGACTGGCTGGCCTACCGCCCAGGGGAAAGCCTTTCGGTTGAAGCCAGGGTTGTTTCCTGTCCTGTTCTCCCCGAACTTCTCCAAGTACTGTTTGAAGGCTTCCTTCTCATCACGCGTAGGGTCCTTTCCATAGACCACCTTGCCGTTGGGCTTGACACTGGTCTTGGCAACGTCCGGCTCGCTGCTTGTGGTTTCGACCTCAGCCTCGAGGATCTCGCCCTCGCTCTTGGACTCCATAACCTCGGTGTTCTCAACACGGACCACAAGGTCTTTGCCCTTCAAATTCACTGTCACCCAGCCCTTGGCTGGACCTGTGCCCGAGATGAGCTCATAGCCAAGGCGTCCATGCTGCCACTCCACTTCCTTGACCTTGGAACCTGTCTCCAAGCGGTTGTCCAAGAAGGCGGAGCACAGGTCCGAGCTTTCACGAACGAGGATGCCGCCCTTGTCCGCGCCGCCAACTACTTCCCACACGGTCGCCATGTCGAACAGAGATTGGGAGGATGCTTGGGATCCAGCTACTCCCACCGATTTCCCAACGGAGGCCTATAAGGAGACCCGAATAAAAACCCTAGCTACAGGTTCGAGCCCTCTTCGTCTGGCAGGCAAGCAGCGCAAGTTTAAAATCAGCAACACTGCCATCCACCGGCATGCCAGAAACAAAGGGCTCCCCTCCCTGGCATACCCGGGCACCCTCGAACAGTTATTAGAAGAGCGTCTTGCAGGGGACCCCCCTATTTTGGGAAGCTCACATCTAGATTGTCAGAGAAGGACTTTGGATTCTTCTGCACCAGCAACCACTAGCAATGTGGGACATTCTAAGGTCCCATTGGGGCACAGCTTCCGCATCATGCGGAATGCCGAATGCCATCATCTGGAAGCTTCATGATTCCACGCAGACGCAGCAAGCCGTCAAACATTGACAACAGTTGAGAACAAATTCAACATGCAGTCTGGCTGCTTTCCTTGGCCGATGCGGCCAGAAATCCTCAAATGCATAATGTTTAGAGGGTTGACGGTGCTTCGGCATTGGGTTCGGGATTTGATGGTCATCAGCTTCCCGTGTTCCGGCTTTGTACCAACCTGCTTTACCCTTGGGCTTCAATGGACGAGGGAAGGATAAAAGGTGATGAAAAGAGGGCTAGAGGGGAACTAGAAAGGATTCTACAGGGACCATTTTGCGAAAATCCCATTTTCGTTCCTTGCGCATAGGCTGTTAGTCTCAACAGTGAAAAAGCCAGGATCTATGACATTACATTCAAGCCAGGTCCCCAAATGCCCCGCAGGGAACTGCAAACCTGCGACACTATGCGCCGTTCTAATCTCTACCTGTCGTTGGAGCCCAGGCGAAAGTCATGAAGTTCTTTTCCTTCGGGAAATTCAGCACTTCGGATTAACATAAAACGTAACTTGACATGATGCCAGGAAAAGAACACTGCTAAGAGACGTATTACGACTTGATAATGGTACCTGGTAAACATCAGGGATAATGTCATTGAGAAAGGTACCTGGCAACCATAGGGGGATATAGGATATAATGATATAACCTGCATGGCTATAACTTGAATGCTTTCCCACCAAGCCTTGGGCCTCACGTGCTCACATTTGGGGCTGGCAGCTGTAACTGGTAGCCTTTTTTCTGGGCAACCTCAAACCCTTAAACCATAACCCCTAACCCCTAAACCCAAGCGCGGACTGAGGCCTGCACTTCAATCCTAATCCATGAGACCCCTGGACAGCCGTTGACAGGGTTCATAAATCGGATCCTGTCTAGAAAGCCTAGTTACACAAAAAATGTTTGGCTACTTTAAGAAAATTAAAGGAAAGTAGGCTTGGTGGGCAGTCTAGCCGCCGCTGTACCGGATCTGAATGCAGGTTTCCACAAATGAGGTCCTTGTGAGGGTGCCCTCATATTCGGGATTTTGCGATTTGGGGGCAAGGGGGGCGAGTCTATAATGGAGTTCCCTATCAATGGCAATGCTGAGCTGCATGGCGGAAACATCACTAGACTCTAGACCCCAGGTCTCTAAGAAGCAGATTTCATCGCAAGAAGCCCTGCGCGCAAATGCATGCGATAGGAGCACGAAGTAATAATCTGTGCATTCCACAGACTAAATGTGTCTTCAAACAAGAACCCCCGGAGCACCACATCGCTAGTTCTCAGTCCCAGTGTCTGCCAGGGGCCCATGTCCTCCCACTCCTCCGTTTCCTCAGAATGGTGCTCTTCTGTCTCTCTCTCTCCCTCTCTCCTTCTCTCCTGTGGACTCAGTTGCCTGTCCGTGGCGTCACAGGCCATAGCAGAGACTGATTCCCAAACGGATTTGAAACCCTAAGTGGAAACCCTCATGAAAGATGCTCGCAAATTTAGCCAAAATCCCAAAAACTCATGGGCAGAATCGAATGAAACGTTCTCATATTCGAGATGGCGCTACATACCCAAGCATTAAGTCCCCTGCAGAGGTAGGTAACCCCCAAGAGGGGCCACATCTTCTAGAACCCACCCCTGATACTCCTAGAATTCCTGGAAGCCTTGGCTCTAAGCACAGGGGTGAGGGGACAAACCAACCATGTTGTCGGCTACTATAAGGTTGCCATGGAAATATTCTGGGGACATGATACATCTCCAAGTCCCGGATTCCTCTCAAAACGCTTGACACCCAGTTGGTTATCGGCCTGAATCCAACACTTTCAAAGACCCCAGATGGTGCGCATGGCTTGAAAACCAGATGAGCGTTTCTGTAACAAGAAGCCCTGAGTGACCCCAGGAGCATGTAGGGATCAAAAAGGAATGTTAGGGGACCATGTGTCGATTACATAGAGGCTGTTTGGAGAAATATCTATTGTTGATTTGAGGCGGGCGGGGACATGACACCGCAATATCACACAACATACCATTCTCCCATGCATGCCTTGTGCACACTGCATACTTACATAGTACTTCCCTTCTAGATTCCCCTCCCTTATGCGAGGGTGGGGCTTCACTGTTCCAGGGGAAGGAATTAGCTGGACTTCAGACGTCGCGCAGACTCCTGACTCATCTTGCCTGCTCACGTGCCACGTGGGTGAACTCAACTGTAATCCCTTCCCCGCAAATATGAGCCCCTCCAGCCCCAACAAGTAATAATGAGTATTCCCATTTTGGGGCTGATGTCCTTGCCTGTTTGGAGGCAGGTTCCACTCTGTCTTATCACACCGTGTCACTCAAGAAGTACGCTACATAGATTAGACGAGCTTCCCAGGGGAGCTGAAATACAAGCTACAACAATGCAAATTTCATGTTTAGGAGGTCCGCAGGCGTTGGGGGAGGACCCCGCAACCTCAACGTGTGCAGCTTCTCCAAATATTAATCTTAACCCTTCGGGCTTGTTCAGGCAACACGGTAAATCAACAAGGGTCAATTGTTCTTGCTACCCTAAACCTCAGGTAATGCCAGGAAGCTACATCACGCTGAACTCAAGGAGTTTCAGAGCACGATTAATGCTCTAGAGGTGCTGCTGAAAACATCCCACTCAAACCCGAACTTTCCCACCCAGTTCTTACTTGGAGGGTCTTGGGGAGTTAGTACGCTGATAACAGGGATAAGTGGAGTCACGATACTTACTGAGCGCCCATGATCCTACAATCAATCCATTGCATTATTAGACCAGAGTAGATACCCTTGATCTCCGAAACACAGAGCACCCGCGAGCCACAAAGAGCTTAATGTAGAGGCCTGAATAATTACCAACAGCATTCCAGTACAAGCCTTACATCACTGTGGGATAATCTTACCCAAAACGCCAGACTCATGTCCGCTTTACCCCGAAACACTATTCTGATAATTGGGGCACCTACATTAATGCTGGCGTGTACAGGCTTCAGATTCGGCGCCTGAAGCTAAGAACGTATCCAACTGGTTCCTCATTCGGATACTACTAACATTGTACCTTTATGTCCCGTACACTGCTTTATTGATATGGGGGTTCGCAAAATTAGGGGTACCATTTTGGGGGTCCCCAGAATAAGGACCATAATTTTTTGGGGTCTATATTAGGGTCCCCTCATTTAGGGAAAGTACCATATACTATTACTCAAACTTAAAATGCATTCAGCACTGAACCAGCCTTAATTCTAGATCCTTTGCCTACTGTCCCCAACCCCAGACCCTCAAACCTTAATCACAAAGTTAACGGAGCTTGTTCAGGGATGCTATATTCCTTTGTTCACTAATAACCCCCAACGAGCAAAATATCCACCCACAAGAGCTTTGACTACCTCAAAAGAAACCCCGCCCCCAACAACAAAGCTCAAGCTCATAGATCCTTAGGTTAGCTCCTTCCTCCTTGCAGCAATAGGGTTCAGGGACAGCAACAATTACCACAAGATAATAGGAGTCATCATAGACCCTTAGTAAACCTCCTTAAAGAACAGCTACTGGGAAGGGGAATTACCCAATCCCAAGGCCAGTTCAAGCCCAGGGACACCTGGGTCCTTGAAAATCTCTTCGCCCACGATCCTTTAGGGCTTCCAATTGAGCTATAGTCTAAGCCCCTGGTATCGCTCTTAGTAAGCCCTGTAATACTCCCCAATGTAATCCCCTATATAACCACCTTTAAGGAGTTTAGGCTATGGCTATAGCTCATTGTAGGGGGCCTGCTTAAAGAGATTTTATGGCTGTAGGTACGCCTTCTGGCTTAAGATTCAAAGGCTTCACGTTTGGCTGGAGTACGGGATGCAGCTTTGGACCGCAACTTGAGAAAGATGTGAGGCTTTGCCCCTTCAATCTGGGCAACCGGTCCCAAACTTAGGCATTTGACGGTTAGGGTTCAAAGGTTTAGGGTTAGGGTAAGGCTTCCGGAGAAACATTTGAGACTATCTTCGGAGTTGTCCCTGTCCAATCTCTGTTTCACACCTGAAGCTGCACTTGTCCAAACTGTGATGGCTGCTGCTCGGGGCCTTATGTCGGGGTTTGGGAAAGGACTGAATCCCTGACAAAATACCATCACTCCTAATGTCCCCGGAGGAAAACACGCCCTGAATACTAAATCCTATGAGGCTACATGAAAAGCTGGCAACTCAAACCCGCATCCCTGAACCCCTTGACTTGAACCTTTCGAAACGCAGAATCCCAAAGTCTAAACTCCAATTCATACCCAAACACTAAATTGTTTTCACTCCCTTAAACCGTAAATCCTACAAAAAAAACTGAACCCCTTAACCCTAAAACCATAAACCCTCCAAGTCCTGATGTCTAAAAGAAACCTAAAGCCCTAAACATTGAATTACCTTGAAACTGTAAAACCCCTACATCCAAAACTCTGAAAACCCCACCCCTGCGATCCTCCAGCCCAGGGCTACGGCGCAGAGACGCGGGCAGGCCAAGAAGATTTCGGCTCTCCGAGGCGCCTGAGCTTCCGGTTTCGGGGTGTTTGGTTTTAGCGGTTTAGGGGTTTAGAGGTTGAGGGGTTTGGGGGTTTAGGGGTTGAGGGTGTAGGGATTTGGGATTAAGGGTGGCTGAGCTTTGGGAATTCGGAGCTTACGGGCGTAGAGCTCATTGGTGGTTGGTAAAAAAACAATAGGAACTACTATATTACAAAGTTCGAGGCTTCGGGCTTACGGTTTGGGTCTAAGAGTTTTGGGTAATTAAGTCTAAAAGTCTCGGAGGCATGAGCTTTACGCTCCAGGCTCCAACAAAATCCATACATTCTGCATGGGTCCACGAATCTTCTCAAGAAGCCGTTTGTGCACGTCAGCTTAGCCAGTTTCCATTTGCCATCGAAGTACGTCATGAAACCACAGGGGAGTAGTTATAGGCGTCCTAAAAAGGCTTTGGACTTGCAAGGTTTATTTGGAGAAAAGCCATGTAAGGGTTCATTTTATGGACAGCACAAGGATACCAGGATTAGAGCACACGAGGTCATATGATGGCCCAAACGCACTATTGCTAACGGGTGTACCAAACCTAGAAATTTGACTACGGGCCACATGCAACGTTTTTGCAGCTACGGGACTCCTGCGGCGTCTGCCTACACCATGCAGAGCTTCACCCATGCATGGAGATTACTAGGGTAGCAGACGGCAGGCAGACACGAGATCTTGCTTGAAGGAATTCTGCCAAAAATGCTAAAACCTGGGCAATCTGAAGCCAGATACCTTGTCTGGACGAAGCCCAGTATCAGTCACCTCCCCCCCCTCAACGTGCTTGGCCCACGCGGACTTCTAAAGGGCTCACCAGTGCAATGAAACAAGCTGGAATCGCTCATGGGACAAGGAGGTGACAAGCAGAAGGGGGAAGGGCTAAACATGCAATGCGCTGGACAGCCTAGTCGACCAGCATTCCAGCAATGCAGCCTGTCATCAGGCATGCAACAGTGCCTGTCACCATTGCCCTGAAGGCGAGATCAGTGAAGTCTGCCTTGCGAGGTGGTGCCAAGGAAGAGAAGCCCCCGACCTGAATGCCGACAGAGCCCATATTGCAAAAGCCACACAGAGCATAGGTGGCGATGACCTCTGCTTGAGTACTAATGGCTCCCTTGGCCTTCAGATCCCCGAGGTTCCTGTATGCCACGAACTCGTTCAGGATTGTCTTTTGGCCAATGAGCAAGCCAACGCTTTTACAGTCAGCTATCGGAACTCCCATCATCAGGGCTAGTGGCCAGAGGAGATAGGACAGCACCGCATCAAAAGTGAGCCCGTTGATGCCCACCAGCTCACCAGACCACTCAAGCGCGGAGTTCAGAAATGCCATGATTGCAATGGAGGCAATCAACATGGCTGCAACAGTTGCTGCAATTACCATGCCCGTCATGACACCGTTCGTGATCGCTTCCAGAATGTTCCTCGTCGGATCTGCTGTGAGGATGTTCAGGGTGTTGGTCTTGGGCAGTTCCGTCTCTGGGTAGACAAGCTTCGACATCGCCAAGGCTGCGGGGGCCGACATCACAGACGCTGCTAACAGGTGATCTGCTGGCACTCCGAAGAGTATGTAGGTGCCCAGCACAGACCCCGCGATAGAAGCGTAGCCGCTAGTCATGGCGGAGTGGATCTCGGAGCGGGTCATGTGGACCAGGAAAGGCTTCACGATGAGAGGCGCCTCAGTCTGGCCTAGGAAAATATTTGCCGCTGCAATCAAAGATTCGCAGTAGCCGGTGCCCATCGTCTTCTGCATGAACCAGCCCAAGCGCACGAAGATCTCTTGAACAATTCCCAGATAGTAGCAGGCTGAGACTACCGAGCTAAAGAAGATGATCACGGGAAGTACCTTAAATGCCATGAAGAAATCCCGGTAGGAGTCACCGAAGACGAATTTGCTTCCTTCATCGGTGAAGCCTAGGAAGGTCACCATGAGATTGCCGAGCTCCTTGAAAGCCTGGTACCCAAACTGAGTCTTCATGATCAGGAGCCCCAAGACAAATTGCAAGGCAATGCCAGTAATCACCTCATACTCATTCTCAGTTCAAAATGGGAAAGCATTGCTCACGGTAGTCCCTACGTGAGACATAGTCTAAACTCCTAGTATCCCCCTTCATAACCACTAGAATAAGCCCCTATACAATTTCAACCCCCTACGTCACCCCCCTTTAAGGAGCATAGACCCTAAACCCTAAACCATAAAACTTGAACTCTAAACCTTATACCCTCAACCCCGAACCCTAAACCCTAAACCCCCTACATACTCCCTGTTCATCTAAGCATGAGGTAAGTTACAGGTCGCCACCGGACTTGGCTCCGGTGGGCGGAGCAAAGCCAGCCAAGCAAAACCAGAAGTAGCAGCCCGCAGCCAGGGATGAGTCGATACCATTGGGCTTTGCTCCAACACCTTGGCCACTGGGTTGGCCCCTAAAACCCTTCGAAAAAATATTAGTATATAGGGTCCCTTATTAAAGCCATTAGGGAAAATATCAAATATCCCAGGGGCCTACCCAGGTCATGACTTCAGGAGGATGGGTTCTACTGCAGGGCTTCTTAGGATAGGAAACCCCTTCCCTGCCTCTTCCCCCAACTAACCATGGGCAGGGCACATAACCAGCAACGTCACCACCATGGCTACCACCATGGCTGCGGGTCCCACACCCGCAGGGCAGCGGTCGCATCGTCGCTGCAGCGGCGCCAGAAGGCTCTCCAAGTCCTTGTTGTAGCGGCTTGAAATGGCATCCCAAATCCTTCGTCGTCCAGCATCCGGGGCTTTTCCAAGGTTAGCCCTTTTCGGGTAACAGTGGATTTTACATTACCCGAACAAAGGGAAAAATGTTTCGCTCTGTACTACATCCAGAAGCTGGATCAGGAAGATGGCCAGAAACACCAAGGAGATTGGAAGCGCTTTGGAAGCGTTGCGAGCTAGAGCTACGCTCAAGTATCCTGTGTTGCTGTTAAGGAACATAAATTAAGTTACTACATTGAAGAAACCCTATGATTTGGTTTAAGTTCTTTAACAGCAACCCAGTATCCTGCCACGAGAAGCCAAAAAAGAACCCTCGACCAGGAAGCTCGCAGCCATGCGGGGCAGCAACTTCCAGGAGCATGTTCACCTTACTGCCGCTTAGGAAGGAAAATACATACTACTATACTGTAGTGCTTTGGGTAGAAGCTTTGGGTAGAAGATGGAAGCGTCTGCATTTTTGCGAATGATATGGGGAGGGAACCCAATGGAAGCATGTAGCGAAGCATGTATCGATCTATTCCCTACTGACCGCCAGCAAGCCGCCGTTCTTGCCGGCGTTCATCTTCGACGAGAGCTTCTCCGGAAAAAGTGGCCAATCGCCGTCCTGCAGGAATCGCATGATACTAGATCATGGCATCATAAAGTGTGTTTTAATCGAGTCCAATTTGGGGGAGGTCCACAAATGGAGGCCCAATATAAGCCCCAACGAATCATAGCTAATCCACAAAAAAGGGGGGCCCGCATTTCTGAAAGCCCATGAATCTCTCTCTCTCTCTCTCTCAGCACTCAAGCCCATGAATCACCTCCCCCTGAGTTAACTCCCCCTAAAATCAAACATTCCCCATAGATTCTTGTATACCATAATGGGACTATTTAATGTCAGAGGGTGGAACTTCCGTATTCGGAGAATGGATTCTGATTGGTTGTAGACCATAGACCTCTCCGTCGCTGTGTAGTGCTCGGCCATGTACCCCTGCGGGGGGAACCAGCTCCTTGTTGTTGCTTACGGAGGAACGAGGGTAATTAGTGATGTATGTATATATAATATTATATATGATCTCACAATATCGCGGGCTGGGAAGGAAGACAAGAACTACGTGGTACTACTGTAGGGATGTCTCTCAGGATTACTTCTACTGGGGGTTAGTAGGGATCAAGGGCATATATCATATGGGGATTATACGAGGCTTCTATTAATGACTATATGAATATCATTCATAGTCTTACATTTTATTATTGGTTCGTATTCCCTACTAAGCACTAGGAAGCAGAAATACTGGCAAGGCTCGTCCAGGCCATTCGCGGCACCAGAGGCCGCCATGCCAGAGCTTCTCAAAACTGCGGTTTAGGGTTTAGGGTTCCCGGTTTAGCGGCTTAGCGTTTAGGTTTTAGGGTTTAGCGTTTAGGGTTTAGGATCTAAGGTTTAGGGTGATTCTTGTTGGCGTGTTGCTTAGGTGAGACGGGCATATAGTATATAAGGATTCTATACGAATTAGATCACATGCTAGTTTATGGTGGGGTAACTCGACATGTTGGACTACTCCGGTGTTAAATCCGTATAAGGGAATCTTACATGCGAGAAATACATTAGGAAAATGTAGCCCCCTTGCGATCACCGTTAAGGTTTGGGATACGAGTTGGGGCTCTGGGCAAACTTTTGCAAAGGAATCAAGGTGCCGGTTGACATCTTCGCTCATGCACACGGACTTCCAGGGCCAAAGTTCCGGCCTTAGGTTGTGTCTCGACTGTCTTTACATTGGAGTCCAGGGTTTAGCCTGGGCTCTTGAGCCACACTCAGCTGCAAATCCAGGGGTTTGCGTGTCCTACCATCGCACAAAAAGTCGCGGCCACCGGAGCCCGCCACAAGTTGTACAAATAAAAAGGCGAAGCTGTTTAATCCAGCTTTACAAACGGGCATAGTATCCTTAACAAAGGAACTGCCGCCTGCCTCTCTATGGGGTAGAGTGCCTTATGGCCTGTTCAGAGCCTGTGAGCTGCTGGCACCTATGCTCTAAATCCAAGGCCCCGAAGCTTTGGGTTTTTTAGGGTTTAGGGTTTAGGTTTGGATACCAAAATGTCCATCAGTCTGTCTGGGAAAATCTTGCCAACCACGCCCTTGGCACATTCGCGCTCTCCAGAAACCATGACCTTGAGACAAGGCGACACGCTTGATTCATATAGGTTCATGCAAACTACCATGCGTAGATGTGCAGGACGTATGGGATGGAGGGAGTTTCCCCTATGATTAAGTCCGCCTACTTGATGATCACAAAAGAATGTTTCTCTCAGAAAAATCCATCCCTTGCGCCTAAATTCCTACAGCCTGAAACTATTCTGCTGAGGGAGACGAGGAGAAGGCCGACGAACGGCAATGTTAAGGCTATGCCGCTATGCGGATACGTGTTAGACTCATAATTGAGAAAGGACATTGTGTGTGCGTGTGTTTCTTTACTTGGCTTCTTCGGGCTCCTTATGAGCAGAACTGCTTCCAACAATGACCCAGATATTTCGGCGACAATGCAACGATATCACCCGAACCATCTCTCCGTCAAGGAGGAAGTCCTGTTGCAGGACTCACATAGCGTGAGGCCATGTTCTGCCCACGATCACTCTGCGCCAAGTGAAACCCAGGTGAGCAGTGTTGCAACGAATGCCAGTAAGAACTCTCAAAGGAAACTCGCAGAAATATGCAAACGGAAGATTGGCTTGGAAACGAACACTTTCTACCAAGCTTGGATGCGCAAATCTAAACAATGTTTGTGATGTGCAACATGCAGACAAACAGGGCCACTAGTCTCCTGCAGGCTGGGAGACTCCATAGACATCTGGGTGCACAGTTGTACAAGGACTGAGTAGGCCTGGCCCTCGTTGACAAGGTAGAGTTTGTGTGTAAATTTGGAAGGACTGGGCAAGAAAAGCATCTGCAAATCAATCCCAGTAATCCGAACCACCTGGTCTTTGGTCAGAAAACCTGAGACCAGCTGAACCTTATCTCTGGACGCATCCCTAGCATGGAGAGCCCCTTGAAGCGCATGCCTTGAACCCACTCCCCCGGGTTCCTCCAAGCAGGGCACACAAAAGAGCATGCTTGAAAAGTCTTCGAAAGATTGTCTTGCAAAATCTCTGTGCCTGTAGTTGAATCCTCGGCTCCTGGAGTCGTTAAACCCTAGCCCTTAAACCCTAGCCCTTAAACCCTACTACACCCTACATGCTAGAACTCCGAGGCTCCCTGAACCCTTGATCCTGAACGCGAAATCCAAAACCTTGAGCCTCAGGCTTCACAACCCACAAACCGCCGAGCCCTACACATGAGCCAAGAGTCTGATCTCGGTGCGTCTTGTGGGGGCCCAGTAGCTCGTGTCGGATGGCAGGGTTGGCGCCTTCAACCTGAAATCTCAGATTTGTGGTTTAGGGCTACGGGTTTCTGATGCTAGAAGGAAGAAGACTACACGAGAAGCGGGTCCTTCACAAAAATAATGTGTATATCCCAAACTCCGAATGGGGTTTTCTGATGATTCTACCAGGGTGTAAGAAAATGTCGGGACGGGGCGTTCAAAAACAAATGCACATTTTCTTTTTACGAATCTACCTCACTGGAAAGATCACACGCGGCGCGTACAACAAGTCGTAGAATACGAAGAAGCTGCAGCCGCATCAGTACTAGTCATAACACAAAAAAAGAGGAGGCGCAGCAGTAGCAGAAGTAGTACAAGTAGCAGCAGTAGCTCTTTCAAACGGTTGTGGCGTCGATCCTCTCAGCCACCAACCCCTTGCAGAGACCAGAAACATCTGGACCACCATCAGCCAGCGGATTTGTCATCCAGCCAGCTCTGAATCCAAAATGCAGCTTTAGCCAATTTGGTGTACGATTCAGCTGGGGGCTTTGGAAGTACCAGGTTACCAACTGCTTTCAGAACTGATGTGCTTTTGTTTGGTCCTACAACACTTGGTTGGGGGGGCACACAAAAAATTAACGACTGCACTTCCAAGTACTTGAAACACCCAGGAAAACAGCCCGAGTGCAACAATTCCTCTGCTGAATTTTGGTGGTTCCAGGACGCATCGGCAGACACGAAACAAGAGGGTGCAAAAGCCGTCAGGATGTTCAGCGCATCGTCCCTTCCCTGGTTCAATGGCAAGACTGAGCCAAGCCACGCTGGGGTAGATTCTCCCTGCAGGCACGCTTACCTGCAGCATCGCATCCTCCTGGGCGGGAATGTCCTCGCAGGATTCAGCGAGTTCAGCGCTGGATGCACAAAAGCCTCGCGATGCTGCGAGATCCAACCAGCAGTTCAAGCTACTAACTACCATGTTCTGGGATGTCATGAGAAATAGGCATAGACCGTAAAAGCCGCTTCAAGGACCAGAGTCATCACGACACACTTTAACAAGGCCCCGTGTCCAGCATGCAAGAGTACTGCACGCCGTCCCAGGCCATCCGCATGTTTATCTCCTCACCCGACCTCGGACAGGGCTAGGCAGCGAACAGGACACATAAAGATTGAGGTCGAGGATGCGGGCAGCGCGATCAGAAAAAACTGTGCCAAAAGCCATTCCCTACATGTACAACCTGCTTCAAATTATGTAACACTCGTTCTCTCCCCCCCCTCTTGCTCCCTCTCTCTCTCTCTCCCTCCCTCTCGCTCTCTCTCTCTCTCGCACACACGGGTGCTTGCAACCATTGGCCCAAGCTCTAGCTCCAAACCTATTTGGGCTTGCTGGAGGCCCAACAGCTCTAAACCTTCAATACTGGAGCCCCACATGTAGCCAAACCCCTTCCTGACCCCTGAAGGCCAATCTCAAATCAGGCATCAGACTAGACCCCCAACATCCCGTGACTATTCCTTTCAGCTGCCTGCCCGAGCCCTTACACGAACTAGGACAAGGGAGACGAAAGCTTACTGGTGCTTCAGGGGGGGGGGGGGGGGGGCGTATAATCCTCCCCATATTCAATGCCCATATTCACTCTTCCACTTCCCTTTTGGCACCAATTAGAAAAACCCAGGGCCCGAACACCCTGAGATAAAGATCTTACGCTCTTACCCATCCTGGAACTCTAGAGCAAAAGGACGCTCGTTCTTTGGGGGGTCTAAAGTCAGCAAAATTGAGCCCAGAGTGGTTTCAGGAAACAGCCTCTAAACCCTACAAGCCTTAAAACCTTAGCTTCGTTGGGGGGAGAGGCTGCGCGACATGCTCTTGTTGTCCTTGCAGCTGTTCCACCAAACTGCATTTAAAACTTAAAACCTTGGTTCCTAATTGGGGAACCAGGGGCAGTCCCCAGAAGCCCTGCAGCACGCACTCACCCAGCCTCGGACCACGGATTTTCTGCCAAGAGGCTGAGGCTTTTGAGTTTAGGGTGTAGGCTTGGGG